TTTTTGAAGTAAGAGTCTAAGCATGTGGGTCCCCTGAATGAGAAGGAAATTGGCTTTCTGCTTTAGCACTCTGGGCAGCATCATAGCCCATAGGCGATCAGTGGCTTTGAGCCAAGTTGGGGGCACCCTCCAAGAATATTTGCAGCTTGCCTTTGCTCTAGGCCATGGCTGAGATTGTGGGCTTGGGATATGTAGGGAGGAGAGTGCTTATCCTGCTGAGGATCTGGGTGGGTCCAGGCTGCCCAGGAGAAGTGGAGTGAGTGGGTTTCACTAGGGCTGAGGACCCAAGGCTCTGAGCATCACTTCTTTTGATATGGGGAATGATGTGTGTGTGTGTCTGTGTGGTAGGGAGTGAGCAGAGGGTTTGACAGCCTCCTTCTCCCATTTCACATCCCACATACACACCTTGTGTTTTAATGACCTTAGCCTCTCACAGCTGCCACCTCCCTCTTTTTGCAGGGAGGTTGTGTGTGGGGCATTGTTTGAGAGGAACAAGCCTTCCTGAAAAGGGACCAAGAACCTAGGGAATCCCTTGGCTCTGACCTCAGGCCGTTCTGGGAGAGTCTGACCTTGAATAGCCTGAAGCCTGTCCAGACAGCTCTGATGGCTCAGGGACCTTCATCTGGTCCCTGTCACCTCTGGCAGTCCTCTCTGAGGAAGCACTTGTCTGCTGTCACTCATGGGAGAGGTCTCCAGTGCTAGGCACCTGCATTGTTTCGGAGAGGTCTGCTCTTCTCATTGATAGGCTAATAGAATCATGAAATGGTTGCTGACATCCATTCTGAAGCAAGTGCTGACACCTTCTGCAGTGAACAGAATGAAAGGCAGTAGCATTGTTTGTAGCTGAAGGCAGACTCTGGATGCTGGAAATTGATGGTGACTGCTGTAATTTGGCCCTATTACTTATTCATTAACCACATGCAGGTGGTCAGCTAGCCAGCAAGAACTTCTCTTAGAAATTTCCTTTCCTAGAGGGCTCCATCAAGTCTGCACAGTACAACATTCATTTACTGCCTCCTTCCCATAGGAGGCCATGCACAGGGTGTTGGCACTCACTGTGGAGTGAGCAGGCATCAGCCCTGACCCTGAGTTCTTGAAAGGCCTCCTCTAATTTTTGCTGGGGCCTAGCTTTGGGAGCTCTGGTAGCATAGTGGCTAAGGCACTTGACTGCTAACCAGAAGGCTGGCGGTTCAAACCCACCAGCCACTCCTCGGAAGGAAAGTTGGGCAATCCTACTTCCGTAGTGATACTGCCTCGGAAACCCAAGGAGGGGTCGCTATGAGTCAGGGCTGACTCGACGGCACATAACAACAACAACAACAACAACAGCTGTGGACAGAGAAGGCCTGCCTGGGCAGCAGTCCCTGGTCACTGGCCTCACCCTGGAGACATGAACCCCTTGGAGTCAGGGATCTTTCTCTTCTCCCATGCCAAAGTTGCCCCTTCCACTTGAAGGGAGAGTTTTGTGGGTAGGATTGACTTCCCTACTAGCCCATCCCCACTCCTGGCTTGAGGGTATCCTCTTCCAATCTAGTTGATTCTGTTTGGCTTTCCCATAGGAGGGGATGGAGCTCTGGTGGTGTAGTACCTAATGCATTTGACTGCTAACCAGCAGGCTGGCAGTTCAAACTCACTAGCCACTCCTTGGAAGGAAGATTGGGCAATCTACTTCTGTAGTGATACTGCCTCAGAAACCCAGGGAGGGGTTGCTGCCCACTCAACAGCAGTGAGTTTGGTTTTGGTATAGGAGGGGACCTGGCATGCGCTGCCCTTACTGGACTCCAGGCAGCGCAGGGTTCAGGCCCTTCCAACAGCCACTTAGCCCTGTCCAGTCTTGCCCTCCAGCAGGCCCAATGACCTTTTTGGCCAGCTTTGTGGGGCTCATGTGGACATGCTACTTGTTCTCCTGTTAGCTGCCCCCCTCCCCCAATTGTGGCTGTTAAGCCTTCAGTGCTGGTTTGATGTGGCAGTCTGGCACGCTTACCACTAGGGTGACATTTAAATGATTTTTACTCTAATTAGCCCCCAAAACATGAAAAATAAGTACTATGCAAACTTAATTATCTCTGTCCTTTAAAAAAGAATGAAATGCAAAGTGCTAGAAAAGATGTTCACAGCTTTGCAGGTTTTATCTGTCAAACGATCATTCCTATTATGAACCAGGCCTGCCACCAGAGACATGATTTCTGACTTTTAAGACCCTGCTATGGTCTGGCTGAACTGTGTCATTTGGCCTTCAGCGAGGAGGGCAGGCACCTCCTGGGTAGAGGGCGTTTGGTAGGGCTGGAACCCTGGGCTCACTTCCCTTGGACACTGGGGTGGCTGAGTCTCCTGTGGATTGACTGGCCCTTGCCCTGCCTTGGGTTCCCATGGTAAGTGGAATGGTGAGTGGGCAGGGACACACACAGCTCCAGGACCACCCACAGATCACAACTCCTTTGTTTTTGCCTCCTTTCCTCCTTGCCACCCCTCCTCTCATCTCCTCTGGTTCCACATTAAAAGCTTGACCTCAAGCTTACCATATTTTTTGCAAGTGATGCACCCACGTGAATAACACGCCCAAACATGTAACTCTTGGAAATTAGCATAACACATTTATGAAAATAATGTGTGGCGTGGTGATGGTGGTGGGGTTTGCATGGTTGGCAGAAAATGCATAATGTGTGTGCTATTTGTGTAAAAATATGGTACTTCTTGGAGATGTTCCCAGGCCTCAAGTCTCTCAAGTGTGATGAATGAGGCCTAACAGCTGGAACTCCATGGGCAGTGAAGATGGGAATATATTGCCTGGTGGCTTCCTTTGACAGAACTGTTTGGATGAGCTTGGAGGTTTAGGGCACCCTTTTAGAAGTAGGGGGAGGCAGAGGTAGTTGGTGGTAGAATTCTTGCCTTCCCTGCAGGAGACCTCGGTTTGCTTCCTGGCCAGTGTACCTCAGGTGCTGCCACTGCACATCTGTCAGTGGCAGTTTGTGTGTTGCTGTGATGCTGAATAGGTTTTAGCAGAGTTTCCAGACTAAGGCAGACTAGGAAGAAAGGCGTGGTGATCTATTTTCAAAAAGCAGCCAGTAAATCACAATGGTCTGATCCCTTTGTGCGTGGGGTTGCTGTGAGTCAGGGGCCAACTCGATAGCAGCTAATAACATAGAAGTGAGCGTGAATAGTCCAGGTGCCCATGCAAACGGCTGATATACCTCTCTGTAGGGAAGCCTCGAGGCTGGTCTCAAAAGCAGGTCCTCTGTGCTTCCCACATCTGTTGGGAGTATGCTTTCCAGGCATGTCACAGCTGGCAGTGATGAAGTGACTGAGGACCAAAGGTGCACATTGGGCAGGGCTTGCTGAGAATGCTAGCTGTCTATCCTGGAGCAAGGATTGAGCTGAGGAGTCAGAGTGGATGTGCTGATGGTGCCTAGACACACATTTCACTGATGGCCCTGCTCTTGCTTTTCTGGCCTGTGCTTTTGTGCATGGCTGCTGGGTAAACTCAGTGCTGTGAGTGTTGCTGCTCAGTAGCAAAGGGTCTGCAGGCTCTCCAGTCATGGCCCTGGAACTGGTACCTCCAGAGTCCTGGCGAAGTGCTTGTTATCAGTAGATGCTTGTTTATAGATGCCAGACTTTGGCCATGTAACTTTTGAGTACTATCCCGAATAAGGAAATGAATGTGGCTGAATTGTGCGTATTTAATTAACAGTAGGAGCTTGACACCCAGTGATCACTTCAGAGAAACCAAAGGGAGATAAAGCAGAGAGCTTGCAGGGTTGCATTAAACAGTCGTAAAGAGACCAGAATCTCCTCATCCTGCTAGTGGGTTTCGTAGCTGAGCTCTGCTTGCTTCTTGTGGCTGTGACCTCCCTGCTGCTGCTGCCTGCAGCTCACATGTTTGCCCGCAGGGTCCTGTGTACTCCCTGGTCACAGTCTGTTTCAGAATGCCTGTTGGGGTGGAGAGAGAAGCATGGAGGCTCAGAGAGAGCAGTGGGGCTCTGTTTCCTGGACATCAGTGAAATGGTCATTAGTGTTCCTCTGCAAAGGACAAGAATGGCACATGGGATGCCATTGCGGCACCTCACTCCTCAAGGAAGTCATATCCAAGTCCCAAAGCCCTCTCACCATCCTGTTCTCTCTGGGCCTCCCTGGGCACATTGTTCTCTGCGTCCCCCACCGCCTCTCTGTCATCTGCTCACCCCTCGAGAGCCCAAGGAACATAATGGGAAAACCATCTGCTGTTTTTTTCAGAGGCCTCTTTTGGCTTTAACACCTGGTGACTATAATAATACAAGACCACAGACAGGCTGGGGTGTGGAATGGCGCAGGACGGTGATGTGTGTCATTGGTATTGGCTCAGGGAGCCTTCCCCCATTCAGAGAGTGTTCCGCCACCTAAGTTCCCTCACCACCAGTGACATTGACTCATCTGCCAACCACAGAGACGAGGTGGGGGATGGCAGCTTGCTGAATCCAGGCTGGAGCCCTGCCCAGGACAGCTATGAGCCAGGAGCCCTTTGCAAAGTGTGCTCCCAGCCTGGCCTGCTCTCTCTATCTAGTTTCTCACGGGCTGCGTTTTCTGACATGAGTAAACTTGAATTTTTCTCATCACACTGTAATATTGATATTGACTACTTTAAAATGTTAAGTAAACTTTTTACTTTCTTTTAAAGAGGCTCTGTCTCAGTCTGTGAGACAGCTTGTTTCATGTCCCAAATGGTCGGGCACAGTGGCTGCTTCCTGATGGGCTCTGCTAGCAGTGGAGGGAGATGGTGAGGGAGTTTGTGTGCCACTGGCTGCCAGGGTCACAGACTGGAAGCAGGTGTGAATGGAGGTTGGCTGGGGTCACTCAGTGGCCCACTGGCCTTTGACCTCTGAGCCTGTGGTGGGCAGACCCCCTCAGTGCCACCTGTGGTAGGGGTGGGCCTAGGGGTCTATGGCCTGGGCTTGGTGGGTGGGAAGGTGGCGTGTGCCAAGCTGTTACTGAGCCCTGACCTAGCACTCCCTGTGCTTCTCTTTGAGGATCCATTCCAAGGAGCATTTCAAAGAGAAGTATGCCGTGAACGAGGTCCACTACTCAGATGAGGTAAGCAGCAAGTGACTCCTCCCCTCTGAGCAGCTCAGAGCTTCCGGTAACCCTTGTCTTTCTAGGCTATATATGTTCCCTGCTGCCATGGCCCAGCCCCCTCAGGAGTGCCTCTGCCTCATTTGGAAACAGCAGGCAGGACACATGCACCCCAGGCTGCTCTGAGGGTGCCATTTTGCTTGGGCAGTGCTGCTGACTCAGTAGAAGTTTCTAGTCACCAGCCTTATGGCTGCTGAGATGTGCAATGGGAGGAGGGACTCTGTGAGGTGGGCCTGCCTGTAGCAGGAGCAGAAGATCTGATCCAAGTCACTGCAGGCCTGGGTCCCCTATGTGCTGCAAGGCCCTTCCCATGGGCCTTGTGGCCTTTGGGTGCTGCTCTCACAAAAGTCTGTGAAGGCCTGAGGGGTGAGGTGGAGTTGGAGGTCACTTGGCTTTAATCTATTTCACTTTTTGGTTGCCTGCTGGGTATCGTGTGGCCTTGGTTGGTATGTGATCTGTCCTGAATTCAAACAGGTGAATGGGCTGCCTTGGCTTCACTGCTGAGGAGGGAGGGCTATGGCAGAGGTGAGAGCACAGCTCTGAGCCCCTGTGGTCTCCTGGGGGGACCGAGGTCCACTCACTTCTGACCCTGCAGTCTCTTCCTGCAGGCCTGTCTGTTCTGTCATTGGGTGCTGTGACAGCTCCATGCTCTGGCCAGGATTTCCCCAAAAGGCTACGTGAAGGAGCACAGCTCACATCCAAGGAGCCATGGGGCCCTCTTTCTGCCAGCACCTTCTGCCTACTTGGGCCATGGAGGGAGAGGGGCTTCTGATGGGTCTTTATGCCATATGATTTTAATACCAAGTTTTGGGTGACTTAGAGTGTTTGAAAAGTCTGTTAAAATGCCTGTGACCTGTCCTGTTGATCTTTGGGTATGTTGTTGTTAGGTGTCGTCGAAGCATTTCTGACTCATAGTGGCCCTATGTACAATAGAAGGAAACATTGCCTGGTCTTGCCCCATCCTCACAATCATTGCCATGTTTGAGCCCATCATCACAGCCACTCTGTCAGTCCATCTCACTGAGGGTCTTCCCCTTTTTCGTTGACCTCTGCTTTACTAAGCATGATACCCTTCTCTAGGGACTGACTGGTCCCTTCTGACAACATGACTAAAGTATAAGACATGAAGGCTGGCCATTCTCAATTCGAAGGAGCATTCCAGCTATACTTCCTCCAAGACAGATTTGTTTGTTGTTCTGGCTGTCCATGTCAATATTCCTTACCAACACCACAGTTCAAATGCAGATTCTTCTGCGGTCTTCTTTATTCATTATCCATCTCTCACATGCATATGAGTCTATTGAAAATACGTGGTTTGGATCAGGTGCACTTCAGTCTTCAAAGTGACATCTTTGCTCTTCAACACTTTTAAGAGGTCTTTTGCAGCATATTTCCCAGTGGAGCATTTCATTTCGTTTCTTGACTGCTGCTTCCATAGGCATTGATTGTGGATCCAAGTAAAATGAAATCCTTGTCAACCTATTTTTTCCTCCATTTATCATGATTTTGCTTATTGGTCCAGTTGTGAGGATATTTGTTTTCTTTATGTTGAGGTATAATGTATACTGAAGGTGGTAGTCTTTGATCTTCATGAGTAAATGAAGTCTTCTTCTCTTTCAGCAAGCAAGATTATGACCTCTGCACATTGCAGTTTGTTAGAGTCTTCCTCCAATCCTGATGCCATGTTCTTCTTCATATAGTCCAGCTTCTCAGATTATTTGCTTAGCATACAGATTGAATAAATATGGCGAGAGGATACAACCCTAGCACACAGAACCCTGACATAAAGCTTTCTTGATTTTGTACCATGCACTCTGCCCTTGTTCTAGTCAAAGGACTGCCTCTTGGGCTATGTACACGTTCCTCATGAGTATAATCAAGTGTTCTGGATTCCCTTTCTTTGCAGTATTATCAAGGATTTAGTATGATCCACACACTTGAGTGCCTTTGTGTAGTCAATAAAACACAGGGAAACATCTTTCTGGTATTCTTTGATTTCGGCCAAGATCCCTCTGACATCAACAGTGATATCCTTCATTCCACATCCTTTTCTGAATCTGGCTTGAATTTCTGGCAGTTCCATGTTGATGTACTGCCATAATTGTTTTTGAATTATTTTCAGCAAAATTTTACTTGTGTGTGGGTTTAATGATGTTTTTTGAGAATTTCCACATTCTTTTGGATTGCCTTTCTTTGGAATGGGTACAAGTATGGATCTCTTCCAGTCAGTTGGCCTGGTAGCTGTCTTCCATGACTTAGACAAGTAAGCACTTCAGTGTTGTTTCTGTTTGTTGAAACATCTCAGTCGGTAGTCTGTCAATTCCTGGAGCTTTGTTTTC